CCAGTATTGAAATCAATCGTTCTTTCCATTATTGAAAACAACCGTTCTTTCCATTGTTGAAAACAACCGTTCTTTCCATTGTTGAAACAACCGTTATTTCCATTGTTGAAACAATCGTTCTTTCCATTATTGAAAACAACCGTTCTTTCCATTGTTGAAAACAACCGTTCTTTCCATTGTTGAAACAACCGTTATTTCCATTGTTGAAACAATCGTTCTTTCCATTATTGAAAACAACCGTTCTTTCCATTGTTGAAAACAACCGTTCTTTCCATTGTTGAAACAACCGTTATTTCCATTGTTGAAACAATCGTTCTTTCCATTATTGAAAACAACCGTTCTTTCCATTGTTGAAAACAACCGTTCTTTCCATTGTTCAAACAATCGTTTTTTCCATTGTTGAAACAACCGTTCTTTCCATTATTGGATGGTATCTAAGTTGGTTTACAATAAAGCCTGCAGCTGCTGTTCCGATAGTAGTTAAGCTCGACCCGACCTGGTTCAAACGGGTAACGTTTTGATTGTATCTTTGGAGTTTTATCCAGTTTCCCGAACTTTAAGCGTGCTCTACAGGAAAGCTGCCCACGTGATCTGTGTAACTGACAAAGAAATACTATTCCAATCAGGTTTTAAATATTATTGTAACCGCTAAAGATCCTATATTCAAAAATGCCTTTTCTGAAAGCTTCTTCGTGATCGTGGTCACATGACAAAGGTCTTTACTCTATAACTACACCTTTAAAGTACGGATCTTGTTCCCGCTTAATAATCGAAATCCTTATTCAATGCAGTCACGTTAGTAGTTCAACATTCTAATACAAGTAGAGTCGCCAGTTCAAACCCTACTGACTCTCAATCTTATCTTCCTTACAAAAAACGACTTCCAACGAATGAGTTACATAACTATTTGTATGGATTACGTATAAGTTACACTAAATTAAAGTATTAGGATACTTAATTAAAATAAACAACTTTATGAAATAAAATTACAAATTATATTTCTGTACATCACGTCGTCCAAATTCACGAAAGAAACAAGTCGTAGCTGAAATAATAATAATAATTAAAACAGCAAG